GTTGATTGGCTTTGTTTTGTTTTTTTGAATGTCCAGAGGACCAGATTTAACTTTTTTAGACTAATCAGTAGTTACTGACATTATTGCAGTTATTGCTGCAGTAAAAGCAGTTTCACAAACTTCAGGTGTTTTGAAGATGCAGGAAAAAAACGTGAGAATTGATACTGATTTGACTCAAGTAGCAACAAGCATGCTGACAAGTCAAATCACAGAGTCCTGTAATTGTTTAAAATTTTGAAAAAAAAATTCCTCCATCACAGGAAATGTCAGAAAGTCCTGGGAAAAAACATGGAGCTGTGGGAGAATGAAGTTTACAGATTTAAGACCATTGGGCAGCTGAAGGTAAGTCTGAGTGGCTTTAATTCAAGCAAAAATTATGTTACTGCAAATATTACTGTTAATAATACTGGTTAGGATATGCAGTAGTCCCTCGCTACTGAGCGGTTAGTTTTTCACAGACTCGCTCTATCGCGGTTTTTCAAAGTAAAATTGGACATGACACACAATTGGCTATTGATGGATGAGCTACACGATCGACATGGAATTGTTCGTTTAAAATAAATTATTTTAAATGATTTAGCACCTGTGTGCAGCCCACACCTGAGGGAGAAGCTTCCTCCTGCAGCTGATCAACTGGTCTCTGTGCAGAGCGGAGAAGTGGGCGTGGCCGAGAGCGCTGGCAGATGGCAGGGAGCTGAAATCCTGACATTCTGTGCTCTTTTAGAGCGTTTAAGGTTTAGAAACATTAGCATATTGCAAGAGTGTGGGAAGGGTTTAAAATGCCTTAATATATTTATATACAAAATAAACTGCTGCTTACTACTTGTACTACTATTCCTATTTTGTGGTTTTTCACTTATCGCGGGGCTTCAGAGTATGGATCCCCCGCGATAAACGAGGGACTACTGTGAAACAATTTCAAAGTTTCTCCCTGAAAAGCTTTCATGTGTTCGGTACTAGTGTTTTTATTTTTTTTTTTTACTATTTATTTCATTTCAGGCCATCAGTCAGTATTTACCAAGAGGAGATCTGCGTCTCAGACCGGCCATCTATGAAATGATCCTGCATGAATTTCTAAAAACTGACTATGAGGTAGTTTGTCTTTTCATAGTCGTTATTATCTTTGAGGAGCACAGAGCTCCAGAATTGATTTATTTTTGTCTTTTTCTCGCCAATAAGGGTTTTGCCACACTGATCCGGGAGTGGCCGGGAGAGCTTTACAACAACATGGCCATTGTTCAGGCCGTCAGTGATCACCTGAAGAAAGATCCCACCAACAGCACGCTCCTCACCACGCTGGCTGAGCTGTGAGTCACTTCAACATTGCCGTATTTTCCGCCGTAAACTTCGCTTCGCCATATAAGTCACATCTATTATGCGTCACCACTGACGCATCACATTTGTTACACATCACCGCTGACAACCTGGAAATGTGGGCCGGTGTTGTGCCAAAAATTGATTGGCTGCCAAATGGCGGCCGCTGGATCATGCACAGGAGGACGTTAACAAGAATTTAACAAGACTAACACTTAAAAACAATTATTTGTTTGCTCGAAATTATAGTAAAGGTGTGTCTCAGTTTAACTTTTGCTTAATAAATGCACTTTGACGGTTAAATCAGCTGCATTTCAAAAGCCGATACGCGGAAGTAAGCGCGTGCACAGGACGAGTCGCTGTGCAAATTTAGCAAGATGACCACTTAAAAACAATTACTTGTTTGCTCGACTTTATAGTAAAGGTGTGTCTCAGTTGAACTTTTACTTAATCAAAGGACTTTAACGGTCAAATCAGATGTATTTCAAAAGTACTCGCTGCCTCTGTGCTCCAGGGGCGCTTGCAGACAGGGAGGAAATCAGGAAGGAGGAACGCTGCGCATTTCTTTAAAATTTAACAAGAAAAGCACCTAAAAACAATAATTTTTGTGCTCGAAATTATTATCAAAGGCGTGTCTCAGTTGAACTTTTGCTTAATAAATGCACTTTAATGGTCAAATCAGCTGCATTTCGACGGGTGGTGCAGCGAAATGAAGCTGATTTGACGTTCGCAAGCAGAACGACGGTGGCAGGATATGGCAAGCCGATTGTATCATTAATAGCTGGTGAAGATTCTCAGTCATCCAGGACATGGTAAATAAAAAAAAGTTCTAGACAAAAACAAAGTATAAATTAAAGTATAATAAATAAAGTCCAGTTGTTTTTGTTTTTAACTTTTTTGAATTTTTCTTTATAGCCACTTTTACCTATTACATGATACAACGGCATGCCCTTCTACTGATTCCATCTATTGGCTGAAATATGGTAATGTTCATTGTTTCAGTCAGAATGAATGAAAACGGTCATATCTCAGCTAAAAATTGGTTTATAAATATGGGAAAAAATCCATAAATATGTCGCTTTGGCCTATAAGTCGCGGGGCATGAAAATTAAGCAAAAAACTGCAACTTATAGGGCGAAAAATACAGTACTTACAAATAAGTTGTCTTTTTTAAATTTCACAACAAAATTGGGAAAATAATTGTCTGTGCTATTTAGATGTATTGTTGTGGATTTCAGATTAATTTATTTGTCATTTCCTGATCAACTTGTCTTCTTGTTAAGTCACTGTACTCCTTGTTGGTGTCTCAGGTACACCTATGATCAGAGGTACGACAGAGCCTTAGAAATCTACCTGAGACTGAGACATAAAGACGTCTACCAGCTGATCCACAAACACAACCTGTTCTCCTCCATAGAGGACAAGATCGTCCTCCTGATGGACTTTGATAAAGAGGTAAAGCTAAATGTTCTAGTCCTAATTAGCAGGCAGTTTTGTTAATGAAATAATAAAAAGGACAATTTAATATTTTCAGAAAGCTGTTGACATGCTTCTCGATAACGAAGACAAGATATCTGTAAGTGTACTTGACTGTTTTATGTATTTTTACTTGATGAAAACGATCCTGCCAACTGTTTATTCTTTATTTCTTTGCTCTTCTTACAGATCGACAGGGTGGTGGAGGAACTAAATGGCAGGCCTGAGCTGCTGCATGTGGTGAGCTGAGTGAGAACGAGAAGTTTAAACGATTGTCACACAGAGTTGGTCAACTGTTTTTCCTCCTCCCCAGTACCTCCATAAACTATTTAAACGAGATCACCACAAAGGCCAGAAGTACCACGAGAGACAGATTGGTCTTTATGCTGAATATGACCGTCCAAACCTCCTGCCTTTCCTGAGGGATAGCACTCACTGCCCTCTTGAAAAGGTACATCCCACCACATGTTCAGCTTCTAATAATCTGTAAAAACCTCTGTCGTTTTTTTTACTTTAATTGTGTCGCCTCACATTCAGGCTCTTGAGATATGTCAGCAGAGGAACTTTGTGGAAGAGACCGTCTTTCTGCTCAGTAAGTATTCGGATATGAGCGTTTGATTTTGTAAATGAGCTCTAAATGAGCCCTTTGCTCCCAGGCAGGATGGGAAACTGCAGACGAGCCCTGCAGATGATCATGGAGGAGCTGGAGGACGTGGATAAGGCCATCGAGTTTGCTAAAGAGCAAGATGACGCAGAGCTCTGGGAGGATCTCATCTCTTACTCCATCGATAAGCCACGTATGGTTCCGCACGACTCTATAAACAGTTGTTTCAACATCTAAAACTTTCACTTCAGGTTTTCTTTTGTTGTCTTTCGCAGCGTTTATTACGGGGCTCCTTAATAATATTGGCACTCACGTTGATCCCATTCTCCTCATCAAACGCATAAAAGAAGGCATGGAGATCCCAAACCTCAGAGATTCACTGGTGAAAATCCTCCATGACTACAACCTACAGGTCAGTCGAGTTCTCTCAACAAAGTTTTTATTATAAACCAAACTTTCCCTCTTACTGTTTTATTATTATTATTATTTTTAAAGATTCTTTTGAGGGAAGGATGCAAGAAGATCTTGGTGGCGGACTCACTTTCTCTGCTCCAAAAGATGCAGCGAACGCAGATGAGAGGAGTCAGAGTCGATGGTGCAGCTTTTATTGGTTTATACTAAAATTGTGATTTATATGGTACAGTCTGATTTTTTTGTTTATTATTTCAGAAGGAAACATTTGTGAGTCATGTCATGGCACAATCTTACCCTCAGGTGGGTGACTGATGTTATTGCATCCAGTTGTTCTGATGTTTAAATATTTATTTTGTATTAAAGGATTGTCACGTTTCAGATATGGCTCAGCCTTTCTCTGTGGTAGTGTTTCACTGCAGACACATGTTTCACAAGGAGTGTTTGCCGTCTTCAGGAGCAGTAAGTTGCCGTTTTAACTCCTTACGTTTGGTGTTATTTTATTGAGATTATTAAAATGTTAGAGTATTTTTTCTTGTTTTTACCATGATTCTTGCACTTTTACTTTTTGTGCAGATACCTGGAATGCAATTTTGTAACATCTGCAGCGCGAAGAAGCGAGGACCTGGGAGTGGAATACTTGAGATGAAAAAATAATTATATGTGCTCTAAACATTATTAAAATTTTAGTTTATTTTATGTTTGTTTTTTTTTACTCCTCAGTGCACCCAATAATAAAAATCTCATTCCCTCGGGTACTGAACTGTGCACGTGCAAAAATGCTAAATATTTCTCCAGGACTGTTTCTGTATATTTAACTGTAACATGCTGTGCCTTGTTTCGCCACTAATGTGATTTTTCTGATGAAAACAATAATAATAAAGTCACATAGAACCTGTGTTTTTATGAGATTGTTCTGCGTGTTCTAATAAAAGCAGTTTAATTAAATCCTGACTCGATCAGGTAAATAAAGGAATAAATAAAGTATTTGCTTTGAGGTGCAGAACAACAAATTTATGAACTTCGTTTGTGACAAAATTCTGTAAGTGCATTTTTGATTCATTAAAAGCTGGGAATAGGTGAAAAGCTTCCATGGACTAATCATGAACAACTTTTTTTTTTTTTAATCAAGTTCCAACAAGTTAGATCTTGAACATATTTGAAATCCAGAGCTGTAATAATGTGTAAATGTACAGATACTTGTTAATATTTGTAATTTCCTCTCATGTTAATAAACAGTGGCTCAGCTGGTAGAGCTGTTGCCTCTCATGGAGAAGGTTGGAGGATAAAATCCCGGTCTGGGGCCTTTCAGGGTGGAGTTGGCATGTTCTCTCTGTGCATGGGTACTCCGGTTTCCTCCCACAGACCAAAAACATGCATGCTAGGCTGATTGGAAACTAAATTGTGCCTAGGTGTAAGTGAGAGAGTGAATGTTTGTCTCTGTGATGGACTGGACTGGCAAAATAATAAAACTACTCGTGTCAATCAGGAAAAAAAACAAAACATTTTCCTACTAATATCCTGATGCATGCTCAATAATCCAGGTAGAAAAATCTAAAAAAGTTAAATCTGGTCCTCTGGACATTCAAAAAAAAAAAAAAAAAAAGCAAATCAACAAAAAAATGTAGAAACGTTTCGTCTCTCATCCGAGAGACTTCCTCAGTCTGAGGAGCTGTTTTCAGCTCAGTCTCTTAAATAGCACCGTCTCAGAGTGGATCAACCAGTTTTGCTGCTGACAACCAAAACCAGCTGATCACATGCTCAAGAAGGACCATCAGCCTAACAATGGATCATTAGCACACTGATGGCTGTTTACTGTTCACAGAGGGCTGAGTGATACTAGCAATCACAGCATTGTAAGAGGGGGACAGTTGAACCACATACAGAACACCATGGACTTTGTGGACAAGGTGAGGGATGTCATCATGGAGACTGATGAAACATGGTCTCTTTTGATGTCACATCACTCTTTACGTGCATTCCTGTTGATGATGCAGTAGATGTGGTCAGTTTAAAATTAAAATCAGACACCACTCTGAGCAGCAGGACCACACTTTCCACAGAACAACTGTGTCAACTCAAACTGTGCCTGCAGTCAACCTACTTCACATATGGGGAGCAATATTATAGGCAGAAACATGGGTGTGCTATGGGGTCTCCAGTTTCTCCTATTGTTGCCAACCTGTACATGGAGGAGGTAGAAAAGAGAGCCTTGACGTCCTTTTCAGGGACACCACCAAGTCATTGGTTCAGGTATGTTGACGACACCTGGGTTAAAATTAAATCTCAGGAAGTCCAACATTTTACTGACCACATCAACTCTGTGGATAAATACATCAAGTTCACACGAGAAGATGTAAAAAATG